CAAGATCATAGAAACAACAATTCATGGTGTAAAATACTCATCCAGAACAACTTTGCAGAACCATTAGATACAAAGATGAAAATCCAGTTTTGAGCCTGACATCAAGATGGATCCCTTGAAAACAGATTACATTTTCCCATGTGCTCAGGAAAGCAATGATGCACTGAATGAACATGTTTTGGGTTTTTTTAACATAGATGAATACCTGAGCTCTACAATTTAATAACCACACAATACTTACATATATGGTTTTGGGGTCTTTCCCTGTCTGAATACAGAGTCTGTCTGACTAACTGGTATGTGGCTAAGCCTTTTTACAAGCTTCAGCTTTTTCTTCAGCTTTTATGTATGTTGTTTACGTATTTCAGTATTAATGCCAAGAAAGGCCCATGAAACACAAGACTTGACAAAAAGAGTCCAGTATTTTAACATTTAAATTTGGCCATAAATAAGGTGAACAAATATTTTTTTATCTCCATATATTGCAGATTGACTCAGCGATAAACATGAAGGCTTACATGACTGCGACTAAATTGCAGGACTTCATAATCTGTTTTTAATTTGGTGTGCATGCTCCTGAAGTCAAGCTGTTGTTTTCTATGCTTCTGCATCAATTAACCACCTCATCTCCTTCCCGGACTAAAGGACCTATTTCACAATTAGTGTTTAATTATCTGCCATGAAAAGAGCATGTTTGCCAGCATCAGTGATCTCATGCAGCTAAAGCAGTGTTGATAATTTTAAGATGGGCACGTAAAATAACACGTAACAACTTACTACACATTCTCGTGCACAAAACTTTTTTCAGTTACTGCTTTTTAGAAAACCCTTGACGTGCTTTATCCACAGAGGAAAACGAAGTAATTTTAGTTAAGACAACTGCTTTTACAGACTAGTATTTATAAAAGAATACTAATAGCCAAGCAACAATTTACGACCTTTAAAGCTCTGACCGTGTAAGGAATCAGATGGTGAAAAGACGTTTTGTCCCATTACAGGGTTCCCCCACAGCGGCTGCCGTTTGTGACACCACACTCCCTCAAACACAGACAACGCTGCCAGAGAGCGCTACGCAGCTGCCTCGCTCGGCGACAGTCACAACGCAGTGCCATGCTGCTCCTATCCAGTGTGGTTTTTCAACAACGTTCAGTTAGAACAGCAGCATCTTAAATCACCTACACAGATGACTTGGATTTTCTGTGTGCTACATTTCTATCTACTTAGCAGCAACCTGAAGTGAGTGCTCACAACTTGCATTAACTGCAATTAATAATTACAATAATTTTAAACAGCAAAGAGTATTTTTTATTACACACCTTTTAAAAAAAAAGTTACACAAAACACTAAATCTCTTTGGCAAAATTCTTTTGAAAGCAAATACTGTAATGAAGAGTGTCACAGACAGAACCAATTCTTTTCTGAGGAAATGCCTGTGATTTGTCTCTCAAAAGTGGCATCTTGAAGCCTAATTATTATTTTCTGTGAAATCACCATAAAAATAACATTAAACCCTCTAAACACAAATAACAGATACTTTTGGCTCTCTGGGGAGTCACGTCTTTTTATTTAACTAATACAAACATAATCAACCCTCCTCCTCAAAAAAGCACTGTGCTTCATCTACAAGGGCAGCCAAAATTCACTAGAAACTATTTCTGTTGCTGTCCAGAATATAATCAGGATCCTTTTCCTCATGGTGACCAACAGCCAGTTTGTAGTATTTCTTCCCAACAAAGTGGTTGATCAAAAAACAGTAAAATTATTTTAAGGTTTCATAAATAATGCATGACTGCATTTTACATACAAATTGCCTCTTCCTCCAAGTGAAATATTAAATTATTTTTCAAGGAAAAAGTCAAAAGAGATATTTAAAAGTGAACAACAAGAACAGCTGTATAACAAATATTCTAAATACACTGGACTTCTTGAACTGTGCAGTGATACAAATCAATGCAGGAACCCATATAATTTAGCTGATCTGTTTTTAACACAAGCAGCAGTAGTACAATACCCTAAAAACGAATTATCACTTGTGTAACCAATCCCATGAAGTCTCTCTTACGATACACATGTATTTTATTTTATTTTTGTAAACAGCTTGATTTAATTTTCTTGGAATCCTTCTAATTTCAAATTTAATTAGGCTGTAATTACAAACCATCTCTTTCTTATGCATAGTAAACCCATTTCATCTTTGTCATATTAAAGTTAGCACATGCAACTTCTTGATACAGACCTTGACATAATAACCTTTGACAGTTCAATACACTACAAAATGAACTTCCAAAGGTGACCTGGAAACCAAATAGGAAAATCAAGCTTAGTTCAGAAACAAATGCCATATACCTCCAATAAGCAGGCAGTAGAAGTGAACTACGTTCTAGTTTGTCATTACATCATTACTTCCACATCAGTATTTCCTTCTTGCCGAACAACTGCAAACATCCTGTTCTGCAGCACCCCTGAATGGACTTTGTACATTTGACCGTATCAGTTCTTCTGCTGGCACAGGAAATATATTTCTAATTAAACCTGATTTACATTCCGCTTTCCTAAGACACCTTAAGTTATGCCTTTCCAAGGCATGGCTTTTGCATGAAGTAAGCTTTTACTGCTCCATGGTTGGCAGGAACACATGGGAGCCACAGAAGGCTATGCACTCCGCAAGGAACCACGTCTGCGGGCAACAAAACCACGGGAGCTGGGAGTACCAGTAAAAACAGAAAGATATAGGTCTGTCAACATTTGTCCTATCAATCATCTACTACTGTATTGTAAATGTTTCTTCAATATTACAGACTGACTTCTATTTATTCACATTCATTGGCATTTTGCCAGTCTCATCAATGCTATGGCAGACTGTAGAACTGGCATATGAACCTTGACACGAAAGAAGAGAGGCAAACAGTAAGGAACAAGTTTTCGTACTGGTTGAGATATACAGGGTTGCACAGGACGAGGAAGCAAATGGCCTTGCAGGCGAACTTTTTCGTTTCCACAGCAGGCAAAGCGAGGTATTTATTGCCTCCAGGATCTAAGTATATCAGCAGTAAAACTTATTTTTACAGTCTGACAGCTTTCCACTAGCCTATGACTTTACAAATAACAAGGCAGCACACCTAGGTTTTGCCAACTGTCTTTCTCTCATTACCTGCTTTTGTTTCTCTGTACTCAAATAAATCACAAGTTCGCCAAACAGCCAAATGAAATTAATTGAAGACAACACACACATATTCTGAGACTGTTCTGAGACCTTTTGAATTGGATATACATATTCCAGCTTACACCCTCCATTTGCAAAAAAATAATAGAGAAATGCTGTTGCTGTGGGTAACTGATTACAGTCAGGCGAAATTTACTCAGGTCACTGCCATCATTTAGTGAATGCACACTGTAATTTTCTCAGCTGTATTTAATGAAGGTTTTAGTTTATAAGCAAATTTACTCTGCACTACTTTGCTACTATTTTACTGACAATACTGTTGACTCTATCAATCATATTTTAAGAAATATACAAGAAGCTTGCTACTAAAGACAATGCACTTGACTACCACTACAGAAAGGCGAAAAGGTAGGAAAGGGGTTAAAAGGAAAGGGGGGGAAAAGTAAGGGAAAAAACAGTATAAAGGGGAAAAAAGAAAGGAAAAAAAAGGAAGGAGAAAAAGAAAATGACAAACCTTGCAAGAGAATTCAAGACATAATATTTGAATAGAACAAGGTCTGCAGTAACATTACAAAATAGCATGTGGAAATTACTATGCTACTGTTGTAAATTATCTAATTTGCTTTCTAAGTAACAACCAATGGAAAATCAAGAGTAACAATATATAATACATCACTTTACTTAACAAGGACCACATTCATAAACATCATACCTTAAAAAAAATATCAGTTTGTGGGTGTGTGTGTAAACAAACACACACATCAATAGTTTAATATGCATTTGATTAGCAGCCAAGTACAAAAGCATCACTAATTCTAAATAAAATCAGAATTATTTTAATTGTTGTAAGAAATCATAGCAGGAAAATTTATCCTCTAACACAATTTACTTACAAAGAAATACCCTTGAATTAATATTTTAAAATCTTTTCTAACAAATAAATTAAATGCCTTTTCTAAAAAATACTTATATGGACATTAGGAGGATTTTCCTATTTAGAGAGGACACAAAATGTCCTAACATCAGTGAAATGTTAAAAACTCAGGGTCTTCTGAGTAGTCTGATTTGCTGCACTGCCCTAAATATGATGCCAAATATTCAACAAAAATGCTTCACAGTCAAGAAAAAACTCTGTTTTCTTTATTTCATTATGACACAGAAAATAAACAGCAGAGTGACAAAATTACATGACCAGCAGTATAAAAACTCTTGTTTTTGGAACTTTCAGGCACTTTCATAACTCTGAAAATAACATAGTTCAACTGTTTATTCTAAAGGAAAAAATCTATCCCTTCCGGAATTCAATTTTCTAAAAATTAAGTATGTTTTTAAGTGAATCACCATTCATTTTAACTAGAATAGCTACATTATGATGAGCTGGGCCCCAAGGAGAAATAAGCAATCTCAAATCCCATCACAGACTGCTGAAGGCAGTCACATGACAAAAGACCTCTTCAAAATGGTATTTTTAATGAAGTACATATAAATCAAGTTTTCCAAGTAATTTAAAAACTTGCTAATAAATAAATAAAATCGCTGGTAATTTCCAACAATGGGGTTATAAAGAACTTGATTTTCCTGATCTTTCTGGAAGGCACCAGGTTCCTGGCATAGCTCTATACATTGTGTGACTCCTAGAGGAGATAACCCAGCACAAAGAGACCTGATCTCAGCGAAGCCTCAAACCCCTCTGTGTATGTCACAGAAGCAGCACATTAAAGGCAAGGAAACCAACTGTCAACACCTTAAGCCACAGGTCAGGATACACAACCAGGTTTGAATGAGGAATGTCATACCCAGCCCAGCACTGAAGAGAACAGACGTCACACCCTTCAACAACAAATACTGAAAAATAAATCTAAACAATCTCAGGGCTGTTTTTTCACATCACCAGCTTTCATCAGAGCTTTAATAGCTCTGGCCCTCATCTCAAGCTCCAGAAGCTCCAGCTGTTGTGCTGATGGCTGAACATCTTCTGATGGAGGAACAGCTAAGGTTGCTGCTTTGGGCTCCTTTGGGCTGGACTCTGCCAACCCCAGTATCTCATTCACGCTTTTCTCAATGTCCTTCTGGAGGTCATCTATCTGACTGGCTCCACTTCTGACAGGGTTTTCTTGCACATCTGGGCCATCTTCTTCATTGCATGGGCCTTCTATGTCACTATCATACGCATCTGCATTTATGCTGAGGACATCACTATCTTCTCCCTTGCCTGTAACAGAAATGTAACAATCACACAGTTGCCTAACAGAACCATGTTTCTTTCAAGTTACAAAATTACTTTTGCTTAAAGTGTTTCTCTGCACATTAAGAGAGTAGCAAAGAGATCCATGAATTTAAGACAACTAATTCATCTCTTTCTCCTCCAACTTTTAAGGCTGATCTAATTTAGACAAGTGTTCATGCATTTTTATGCCAATTTAGGAGAACATGCAGTATAACAAAGCAGCAGTACCAGGAAAATTTATTCCATCCTATGGAGTTACATAATCTGTTTTCCTAATTAAAATGTCATAAGGTTTTATTTCACAAGGAAGCCTCTGCAGTGCAAAACTGATTATTGTTTATTATCTTTAAAGCAAACTTAGTTTTCAAAATACTATTTTAAAAATGACACTTTAAAACTATTTTATGTATTTTAAAAAGAGTAGGACACTATAGTCAGGCACAGTACTAAAAAGTAACAGAAACTCCACTTACTGTACAACTATTCAGAATCTCTCACAAGTATTTCAGACGTATTTAACTCAGTAAGAACATGGAGAAAGTTATGGCACTGGCTTTTAATGCTGGCTAAAAGTTAGTTTGTTAAAAAAAATAATTAGAAGAGACAGTGCAATAAAACAAAAGCACTCTAACAGAACCTTGAGCAACTGTTCTCACAATTTGGTTACAGAGAGACTATTGCTTTTGACACCTTGGCCTGAGAAATAATCAGTCCTTCACCAACCTTATTATCTACGGAAACTTACAATAGGATTGCTTCCTACTTAAAATGAGCAATTTATAGTCAGATGATGGTAAAGTTACTGATTCTAAAGGCTTTATAATTGCTTTTGGTAGTACCACTATCCAAAGGTACGGCTGTATTCCCTGTTAATTAATAATGAGGGTTCAGATCTAAAGATCTATGTTTTTGAAATACATATATTTCTTACCTTTAAGATGGAAAGAAAGTTTATATTCCTGTGTAAGCTACATTAGATTATAACAATCCTCCAAATATCAGAAATATTCTTTATTTAATATATATTCAGAGAGTATTGCAAACCTGTTTAAGTTTTCTTTAATTCTCCTTTAAAATACAGGAGAACACCAAGAGAAGGGAGAAAAAATGTTCGCAGTACTGCAATACTAGGCAGGACTAGTGGCAGCGGGCAAAAATTAAAACACAGGAAATCCCATCCAAACACATGTAAAAAGTTTTTTTTTATTGTGAGGATGGTCAAACACTGAAGCAGGTTTCCAGAGGGGTTGTGGAGTCTCTGTACTTCAGATATTCAAAACTCAACAGCACTTGGTTCTGAGCAACCTGCTGTAGCTGACCTACTTGAGCAGGTGTATCAGGTTCGATAATCTCAAAACAGTCTTTCTAACCTGAACAATTCTGCGACTCTCTGATTCTTAAAAATAGTATGTTGACATATAGCTTTAAAAGGTTCCATTTCATGAAACGGGTTTTTGGGTTTTTTTTTTTTTTTTTACTGCTGGTTTCATCCACCCATACCTTTGGTTCCTGAATCTCAAATCTGCAGGGCTGTAAGTACAGACTTGCAAGGATTGCTCATCAACAACAGAAGAATCAATCTACTGGAAGCAAGTACTTCCTCTGTGAAATGCTGTTTTTTTAATATCAAGCAATCAGAATCTTACTGACATTCAAACTGTATAAAAAAAATTGATAATGCAATCTACCACAGCAGGGACCTATGATTTTAACACCTTTAACTAATGATCTTCCTCTCACTGGCTTTTTTTGCTCAAGATGCTCACATTTAATGTTTTACTGTTGGAAAACTTCTGGAAATATTTTTTTTTAAATTCTTCTGAAGAACGTTACTTTGACAGGGGTTTCAGATCCAATACAAACAATTCTCTACTCTTCGAAAAAAAGAGTAAAGCATCTTTGAAATGACATTTTCAGCAGTCTTTGTTTTACACTATTAGTGCCACAGCATCTTTTATTAAACAGGAAATATTTTAAGATGCAACAAAAAGAATGTGAGACTGTTCTTGAAAACACAAGTGCAAAGCGTAAAAAGCTCCCCATCCACACAGAGATTTTGTATTTTCTTCTCGAGTTTTTGTGCAAACCCCTCACACTAGCTGGAAGCTCTGTACAAAGACTAGCAGTAACGTACAGATTAGAAAAATTCAATTGTACCTTGTTCAAAATCAGTTTAATCAACAAACCTTAAAAGAGACTAGTTTTACTCTCAAAGGAAAAACAAATAAGGCTTTAGAAAAAACAATATTCTTTTTTGAAAATGTTTTGAAAAAACTTTTGGTACATGCATAGGGAATCAGTATGAACCAGGAAGCTGGGCTAACCTGCCTTGGGTTGTGGTAAGAATTTGAAGCCTCCAAAACTGTATAATACAGTGTTCATACGAGCTCATTGGTGTACAAATTTTTAATTAGCTTATGGGTTTTATTTCCGTCTTCTGCAGTTGTCATTTTACCCAGTTACAAAGATTATGGTTGGCATTTCTCATTATCTTTTTCATTTTGCTAACTTACTTTTTCCTTCAGCTATTGTTGCAAAGTTCATTTTAGCACACTTCATTCAATTTTTTTAATTTTATTTTATCCACTTTTATTTATCCTCTCATTCTCTCTTTTTTTCTGATAGCATCACAGGCTGCAGCTCAGCAGAATGATTAGAGTTATATTTTTAAATTTATATTGATATTCTCAAAAGCTCTTTAAAGCTAACATCTTGAGTGGAGCCACTGTTATAGCCCAAAGCCATCATGATACTCTGGTTGATTAAGTCATAAAAAACAACAATGAAGCATCACCTGCAACAGTCATCAATTCCCTCTAACACAAAAGTGGAAGAGATCTGCAGATAATCTGTCAGTTCTAAGGTCACTCCATATAGTACAAAAAGCAACATTTAAAGCACTCTTCACAAAGCCATAACAATCCGCTCCTAAAACTTTTGATGCTTTTAATACGACTGTTTCCTTCCCCGTTTAATTCCCTTCACTGATCACTTCAGAAAAAAAACGTTTCACAAAGTTATTCCAACAGACATCTTTTAGACAACATTCTGAATTGTGAAACAGGATTTGCAGGAAGCAAATAATGTTAGATCTTCGCAGAAGAGAAATACAGCTTATAAGAACTAGCAGCGTTCTTTGATTGGAAAAGCAATTTCTGATGTTACTGCATACAGCCAGTTCAAATGAAAATAAACAGACTGAGATAGAAACACTTACAATTTTAGTGCTTCATGCACAAAATAATACTGGTAGTTGTTATATGGTGCTGATTTAATGCTGGAATAATACAAACACTGCTGCAGGTTATATTCTGCCAGTCACTGTAGTACCTGAACTACACTTTTGCATTGAAAATGAGAAAACATACAAGACAAAACGTTCATCCTCAGAGAGTCAAAGATTTGAGTGTGTACTTCCACTGACACTGACTTCAAGTAAAATATGTCAGTTATCAGGAGTGGTGGGTGTTAAGCACCATTCCATTGGACCTCAGCCCTGCATAATCAAACAAGGCAAGGTAATTATTAAACTACAAGCAGTCCTTTAGCAAACACATATTGTAATGGATTTCTATGAATGTCAAAACAGAGTACTGTAGACTCTTATGATCATCTCAACAAAGTAAAACTAACTCTTGAAGAATTCAGCAAATGGTAATAGCAGTATTAGCCATCAGCTATATACCAAGAAATTGAGATGACTGAAGTTCCTCTTCAGCCGCAAAAATAGATATGAAGAGCCCAATGAGCCTCGCAAGAGCTTCAGTCATGTTCCAGGAGCTAAACTAGCACATTTTGAAGAGCTGCAATTTGCTTCTAACCACAGAAAACTCTCCAATGTCACAGAATTAAGAAGCCAAAGTTCCTACAACGACTTGTTCCATGTTCCCCTCTACTTTTCTGGAATTGGGCCCAAGGGAGAGGTTGCATCCCTACACCAGGTGATTTCTAAAAGATGCTTCTCTGTGATTGCAGCTACTGTTCAAAAGAGACCTATCAGTTATCTGGAATTAGTCACTGCTGAACGTCAAGAAAACAAAATTTCAGGTTTCTCCACTACATACCTTGTTTTGATTCCTGACCTTCCAGCTTGTTGTCTTCTCTGACAGAAGAGGTAGAGTCTATACTGTTGTCCTGTCTGGAAACAATTGAGAAGACATTTTAATCTACTACTTTTACAATTAAAGAGAACTTTTCTCTTTAAGAAAGAGAAACTTTTGCTTTAATTAAAGAAATTACGTGGTAGTAGGCCAATAGGCCAGCAACAGTACGAATAAAGGCAAAAGCTACGTATGGAGTGGTAATGTAAGCACTTGAGAATGAGGTGTTTTTGCTTTCCCTAGTAATACAAAAGGATAAAGTAATTACTTCCACTACACCCTAGCCTTTCAGAATAACAATCCTCACTGGTAGCCTCTCCCTAATATTAGGAGCTTTTCTCTAAAACTCTAAATAGCCACACAGTTAAATGATTTGGAAAAACTATCGTTTCAGTTGCATTCAAATATTACTTACTGTTTTCTTTTGAAACTAGGAAGCTATTTTTATGAAGTTACCATCACCCCACCACCATCCGCCTCTCCTACATTACAATCTCAGTCTCACAAAAGCACACGCAATGCAACTCAACTGCTAAATTGTATTCAGTATCTGCACTTCTGTCTTTCTTCTATTCAAAGGTTTCTACCCTTGACCTGTCAGGTTTCAACCGCTTTATACAAACGATAAGGAAGAGAAAGTTCTGTGAAATGTTCATGTTCTTCACACATTGCACATGTACTAGTTACACAAACTGTGGCAATACTGTGAAATATACAGAAAAAAGGCAGGCAGAAGGACACAGAATCACAGCAAGAGTTCAACTGCCATGTTTAGCGAGCATTTGAACAGTAGAATCGCAAATTTCCTACCCCGAATGTCGGTGTGGCACTGGTTTCATACATATGAATATGGAATCAATGCAACTATCCTGCCTGTGGGAGCTAAACAGCACTATAAAAAGGACTGCAGTATGCTGGTATCACAGATGTAAATATAATGACTTTAACAACTTGTTTTTCAGTAAGGGCCTGGAGGCTCTTCCTAAAACTGAACACAGATTTGTGTTACCCATGCTCTCAAAGATATATTTTTTTCAAGTGTCCAATGGCTATGACAGGAGGGAGAACACCATAATACTTCTACTCATCTTGGTCTGAAAGGCAGAGTTATTTTGACTGCTGTTTCCTTTTCTGTAGTAGCAAATCTTACAGATCAATAGACTATTCTGTTTCTCCCACTTTTTGTACCCATTGCAACACAAATGCGTATGGTAGCATGCAGTAATTAAGGAGAACATGTAGCCATTCTCACATGCACACAGCACCTGAAAAAAAGATTTTTCAGTGTTCTGCATGTTAAGGAAAAAGAAATGTAATGCCCAATGCAAGTTCTCAGTTCAAGGTGAAGTTAAGAGGGGGGGCAGCAAAACCACCACCATGGACTTTCGGAGGGCAGACTTTGGCCTGTTCAGGATGCTGGTTGAGAGGGTCCTTGGCAGAGAGTGCTGAAAGGCAAAGGGGTCCAGGCAGGCTGGACATTCTTCAAGGAGGATGTCTTAAAGGCACAGGAGCAGGCTGTCCCCATGTGCCGCAAGATGAACCGGCAGGGAAGACGATCGGCCTGGCTGAACAGGGAGCTCTTGCTGGGACTCAGGAAAAAAAGGAGGTTCTACCACCTATGGAAGAAAGGGCAGGCGACTCAGTGGGAGTGCAGGGGTCTCGTTAGGTCACGCAGAGAGGAAATTAGAAAGACAAAAGCCCAGCTAGAACCCAGGCTGGCCACTGTTATAAGGGATAACAAAAAATGATTTTACAAATACATTAAAAACAAAAAGATGGCCAAGAAGAGTTTCCATTCCTTATTGGATGTGAGGGGGAACATTGCCAACAAGGACGAGGAAAAGGTTGAGGTACTTAATGCCTTCTTTGCCTCAGTCTTTAACAGTCAGACTGGTTATTCCCAGGGTAGTCAGCCCCCAGTGCTGGAAGATAGGGAAGGAGAGCAGAACAAACCTCCCATAACCCAGGAGGAAGCAGTTAACGACCTGCTATGCCCCTGGTCACTTGCAAGTCTATGGGGCCACATGGGATCCACCCAAGAGTGCTGAGGGAACTGGCAGAGGAGCTGGCCAAGCCACTCTCCATCATCTATCAGCAGC